GAGGTATCATAGAGCTATGTTCTTACCTCCAAACTGAAGAAGTATGGATTTGATGGATAAATTGTTAAATGGGTGAGGAATTGGCTGAATAGCTGTACCCAAAAAGTTACAACCAACAGCTCAGTGTCCAAACAAAAACCAGTAATGAGTGAAGGAAACCAGTAACGAGTCATGTCCCTCAGGGGTCCATACTGGGACAGATACTATATCAGTGCCATAGGTAGTGGGGCTTGAGTACATGTTCAGCAACTCTGTGTATGACACCAAGCTGAGTAGTGCAGTTGATTCGCTAGAGGGAGGAATGTTGACAGCCTTAAGGAGTGGCCCCTTATGAACTCCATGAAGGGCCAGCAAGTCAACGGAAGTTGGAACTCTTCTTCACTCTAATGAGACCCCACACTGAGTACTGCATCAAGCTCTGGAGTCCCCAGTACAAGACATGGAGCAGGTCCAGAGGAGGGACAGAAAAATGTTCAGAGGGCTCAAGCACCTCTCCTATGAAGACAGGTTGAGAGAGTTGGGATTTTTCAGCTTGGAGAAGCAAAGGCTATAGAGACACTTTATTGTGGCCTTTCAGTATATGAAGGGAACCTGTAAGAAAGATGGAGAAAGGCTTCAAAAGGATCTGTACTGACAGGACAAAGGACAATAGTTTTAAACTGGAAGAGGGTAGATTTGGATTGAACACACTGAAGAAATTTTTGATGATGAGTGTGGTGGGACACACTGGAACAGGCTGCCCAGGGAAGCTGTGGATGCCTTGTCCATGGAAATGTTCAAAATTTGGTTGGATGAGGCTTTCACTTGATCTAGTGAAAGATGTCCCTACTCACAGTTAGTCTACATGATCTTTGAACATCCCTGTCAGTGCAAACAATCTATGAAACTCAGCAACTTTCCAGACATTGAGTTTCCATATCAAGTCACAGTTTAATGATCTAGTAGACAAGATGATATTTGGTGTATAATTTAGAATCAGCTAGGAGGGAAGAAGACAGGGAAATAGGCTCCAACCTTGCTTCACTTTATTAGATGAATTTCTGTCGGGAGTAGAAAAACAGTGTTATGAACAAGTATTTATCTTCTTAGTTTAAAAAAAAAAAGCCTTTCCAAATGGATTCTGACATAAAGATGCATGGAGACAGGCAGCGAGAGACAGAGGGAACTATATGTAGCCACTGATTCCTCGGCAGAAGCAGCTCAGTATGGAGCAGGGTTATAGTATAAAGCTGCAACTGTTTTTTATTCCATGGAAAAAAAATAAATAAAATTAAAAGCAGAAACAAAACCTCAGCATTCCAGAGCTACACAACTTATCAAGGACTGGATGGGGAGGTGATTTAGTGAAGCTCAGGATTGTCCGTTAACCTTATAGCAGGGATCTGCAAATCATAATAAATTCCAGTGGGGCCTGTAATATGGTCAAATTACCAAGGATTGATCAGACTGAAGAACTGGATTTTCTCGGCAGGGTGGGATCATCCCGTTCTGCAGCAGGTAGTGCTAAACTACCCTGTTAGCAACATCCTGGTGAGGATACAGATACTTTACTCTTGAAATCTCCTGTAAATAACAGAGGACCTGACTACAGAGTGCACAGCTTCTCACAGAAGCCTGGTCTTCCACAGCAGTACAGTTATGGTCCCTGAACTTCCCCCCCCGGAAGGAGCAAAGTGGCCTTAGGAAAGGGAACACCATGAGCTTAGCCTTCGCATCCCCACTGTACTCCAGAATTCTCGCCATAGCCCAATCTAGGATACAGTCAGTTTCCATGTGGAACAGGACATTTATGCTGGTTTGGGCCTTTAGGACGTTTCCTTCAGAATCTAAGTGCTTGTTTTGCCCCACTGGATTTCCATTGGGCCTATGCTGAAAAGACTGTGCATGAGCAACATTCTAGACTACATTATCATTATTTTCTCTTGCCAATAAAGGGCCACTGGAACAATGATATCTCTGCTATTGCATTGCAGAGATGCAATATGCATCTGTGACCTATGACAAGGTATTGATTGATTGTTGATTAATCTTATGTTGTAACTTTATGGAAGGACACATAACATAAAGCAGCTCAGCTTCAAAGGGACAAAAAAAAAAAAAAAAAAATAAAAAGCCACCAACGACATCCATGAGGGGGCAGCAAAAGTACTGGAAACTTTTCAACCCTGACCATTTCAGGTCGAAAGCCACCTATAGAATGAGTTTTTATTAAGTACTGTTTCTTGTTTTCAACAGTATTACCTCAAAAGACTTTTATCCCCCAAGAAGCAAGCCAGAGTCTAATACCTTTCCACCGAATGACAAAACCGCCTTTCTTTTTACATATTTAATTTTTTAGTGACTAAAAAATCTACTCTGGGCTCACTACCACAAGAATGGAAAGTGCAGTAAAATTATTACTCCAAAAGAACCAGTTTACCTTAAAAAGAATTAAAGTAGAGCACGTAACGGTTAAGTAGTGTACCTTAACACCTAAACTCTCCTTGAGAAAAAAATCAGAAAGGGAGGGAAATTGAAAGTGAGAACAAGATTTAGAAAAGATAGAATTTTGCAGAAAGACAACTGGAAAGACTTTGCTGCAAGATGCTTCATTAAAAATAATAATAAAAAAATTAAAGTTCTAAACTCACAAGCAAGAAATGATGCAACCAGGTGAAACTACAATACATAACACATACCCATATTAAAAAAACAACCAAAACCAAACCAAATCCAACCCAAATCAACAACAAAAATATCTCAAAAACAAAACAAAAAAAACCCCAACAAACATCACAGTGAAAAAATCAAAGGGTAATTTACTGAAGTGATTCAATAACTGGGTCACCTTTTTTTACTTCTAAATGATTATGATCACCAACAGTTTACAAAAAAAATAAAAAACAACAAACAAAAACACAGGAAAAAAAAACCACCCTGTCCACACCAAAAACAAACGCTCATGTAAACTATTAGACACAGACCCAACGTCTTTGCTTTCTCTTTATCTAAAAAACAAACGGGCGTACCGAAGAAAGAGCAGAAACACAGAAGTACTTCTACCGTAAAACAGAGAGAGGCTCACCGGAAGCCCGCCTTTTCTGCCAGTTGGGTGTGCGATGGGGAGAGTGGGAAAATCTGGGGAGCCCCAGGCTCCGCCCCTCCTCACCGCAGTTTTCAACCAGGTCGGATCTCAGCATAGAAGACAGGCAGTTCTGCCAGCTGCCGCTTACTTTTGAGATTAAGGTCTGTTGTAGTAATGTCTGGCAGAGGCAAAGGCGGGAAGGGTCTCGGCAAGGGTGGCGCTAAGCGCCACCGCAAAGTGCTGCGCGACAACATCCAGGGCATCACTAAGCCGGCTATCCGGCGCCTGGCTCGGCGTGGCGGCGTGAAGCGCATCTCGGGGCTCATTTATGAGGAGACCCGCGGCGTGCTGAAAGTCTTTTTGGAGAACGTGATCCGGGACGCAGTCACCTACACGGAGCACGCCAAGAGGAAGACGGTGACTGCAATGGACGTGGTCTATGCTTTGAAGCGCCAGGGGCGCACCCTCTATGGCTTTGGTGGCTAAAGTCTTCCATTTCCAGGACATTTTACTAACCGAACTCAAAGGCTCTTTTAAGAGCCCCCATGTTTTCGGAAAAGGGCTGTGATACTTTTCCCTGAAGAGATAATAAGCATTTGGTATGTTCGGTGTAGCTTCTGAAATGGGCTACTTAAGGGCTTCATGGTTGGCTAAGTGTCATCTAATTTTGCTCTTACTGGCAAAGTTGTCTTGGCTGTGTGAACTTTATTCGCTTTACTGTTACATTCCATTACAGATATTATACCCCTAGAACAATCACTTTAAGTGACTTTTGTAATCAAAACTCAAATGTGCTGGAATATTGCTCAGTGTCTTGTACTTTCAAATGTTCATTTAACTGAGAGTAGATAATCACTGCAAGGAAAAACAATTTATCACCTGGGGAATAAAGATGAAAGTTGCTCCAAGATGAACCTTTACTTTCTGATGATTCAAATAAATGATGTTTTATTATAACCTGTCTTTAGTTTCTTATTACTTATTTCTTTAAAGGTATTTCAGGAGTAAACCAACAACTTTCAAAATTCTTTGGGGGTTGGGGGTGAACCTTGCACAAAAAAATATGTCCTTGACAATGCATTTCAATAAAATAAGTAAAAAGTTCCATGCAGCAGCTTTTATGATTCTCATGACACAAAAAAATGCTCTCATCCAGGGTGTTACTAAAGTATTAGTGTTCTATTTCCTTCATCGCTGGTGGAAAAATAAGCAAAAGCCGAAAAAAGCCAGATTTTATGTTCATATATAAATGCTGCTATCATTGACCAAATGTTTGTCATCTACAAAAAATGATGATCAATAAATATTCACGGTCACCTCCAGTTTTCTTGCAGCATTAAAGTGTAGAGGCAAATCAAATAACACACTAAGTCCGTATTCCCTTGTAAAGGCCTCAATTTCCCAAATAAGTTTTCCAAGTGTTGTCAAAAACCACAATTTTACCTAAGATATCTCTGACGAATTTCCTAGAGAAAATAAGCCAACAAAAAAGTAGCTTAAAAGTTGCATCTCGATTGTTACAGGCAATTACACACTTGCTAGAGCCCTACGTTAAAAAAAAAAAAAAAAAAAAAGTACTATAATGGGCAACTCCTGAATTTGAGCGTCCATATGGCTTTTAACCTACCCGGGACCTGGCGAAAAGAGAAAGCCCGAAAAGCAGAAGGGATGAGACCTCTGTGCCTGCAGTACCTGCCCCCAGAGGCTTTGGACTCGCAACGAGAGAGTCCGAGCTCTGAGCGGAGTCGCCGTGAGGGTAAAAATGAATGGCTGCGCAGGTAGCACCGAACTAACTCAGCTTCCTTGGGCCCAAGGTAGGATTACAAAGTAGCCAATGAAATCGAGCTTTCAGGCGTCCAATCAAAGACGGGATAGTCGTATAAATATCGGCACCGGGAGCTTGCTTTATTCACTTTGCTTGTTCTAGCGCAGCGGGTGTAGTTTGGGGACTATGGCTCGTACAAAGCAGACGGCGCGCAAATCGACAGGCGGGAAGGCGCCCCGCAAGCAGCTGGCCACCAAGGCGGCCCGCAAGAGCGCGCCGGCTACGGGCGGTGTGAAGAAGCCGCACCGGTACCGTCCCGGCACGGTGGCGCTGCGCGAAATCCGGCGCTACCAGAAGTCGACGGAGCTGCTGATCCGCAAGCTGCCCTTCCAGCGCCTGGTGCGTGAGATCGCGCAGGACTTCAAGACCGACCTGCGTTTCCAGAGCTCGGCCGTGATGGCGCTGCAGGAGGCGAGCGAGGCCTACCTGGTGGGGCTGTTCGAGGACACCAACCTGTGCGCTATCCACGCCAAGCGCGTCACCATTATGCCCAAGGACATCCAGCTGGCGCGACGCATCCGCGGCGAGCGCGCCTGAGGTTTTTACCACAGATTCTCTTGTGATCGTGACGCTTTCTCACACCCTAAAGGCTCTTTTAAGAGCCACCACATTGCACAGAAGAGCTGTAACATGGTCTTAAGTTCTTGAACGCAGTTCTTTTGTGATAGTGAATGTTGGGGGCAAGGGGTTCATTGGGTTCTGTATGTGGGTTTTTTTGTGCGGTGGGGCTTTTTAGTCTATTCAGTTTTTATTCCCCTACTTCTAGTAAGCTTATTACTGTAGACACTTAAAGCTTTGCCATCAGAAAATGCAGTTCCAGTTAAAATGTATTAGTACACCTTCCTAAGCAGTTGCCTTAAACTGATTGATTCTTTTGAGCAAGTGCTATGTGCTGTTTTAGTGAAAGGCTTGCAATACCTCTATGTATATGCAGGTTATGTAACTGCACAAATTAGAAAAACTGATTAACAACCCCCCTCCAAAACCCAACCAGAATACAGCAGACAGCTTGCAGTGATTTTCCCCTGCTTCTCCTCAGACCTGATGCTTCCTGTAAAATAATTTCATTTGCAATAGTTTTTATGGAGCTGTGCAGTCTTTTAACCTGTAAACATTGTGGAAGGTATAACCTTCATCGATATTGGAAGATAGGCTTCAAGCTTCAGATAGTTTATTTTATTAAAGGAAATTTGATATAAATATGCTCTCTAGGGTGCCTTTACTCTGATTTACTCTTAAAATGGTAGCACTGCTAGCTAAATACCCAAGTGCCCTACCTAAGTATCACATCAAGAAAACAAAAGTTCTAAGATGAGAAGACTGGTACAATGGGTTAAAATGAAAATTTCAAGAAATTGGACTAACTGTCATTTGTGTTCTTAATTTTCTTTGGTGACTTCGAGGAAAGGCTGTAGCAGGGTTCAGAAAGAGCTTGGAAAAAGCAGAGAGAGCCTGGTGGATGTTACTCTGGATGTTCTTCTGAAGTCCCCTCCCCTCTTTCACAAATGTAGGGAGAGTACTGGTACATGGGAAAGCTTTGTGGATGTACTCTGGCTTCAAAACAGGTAGGAGAAAAGGAAGGGGCTGTCAGGCCCTGGCAGCTTTGTAACTGATGAAAGGCCTGTAGAAAACATGCTGATTTGGTTTTGAGAATTAAGAACAAGCATTTTGTATTTTATAATAGAAAAAAGGTGGAGCCATTAGAGGAAAACACATGGAATCAGAAGGTCAAAACTTACTTGATTCAACGAAGGCTTGTCATTAAGAAATAACAGTTGGCCTTTAGTTTACTTCAGTTTCTTGGCTGATTGTATCAAGTCTTGCAGACTGACTGCTTTAATATTCCAAATAACCCACCTTCTCTATTTATTCACAGATAAAGCATTTGGATTCCTATTTTTTCCTTCTTTGTTTTCACAACACCTTCTCCACTGTCCTTGATAACAGACTCTGGCCTATCCAATATACTTCTGTAGATGTAAACCCTCCAGATCAGTCTGAAAAGAAAATTCATGTATTTGAGCATCAGGGGAAGTCTGCAGGAAGTTTCATAGGGTGTTTCAGAAAAACATACACGGAGTAAATCAAGGTAGGTTCAAGAAATAATCATAGCATAAAGATGTAGGTATAAATGCATATACTCATGGATTACATATATTTCCCCCTCTATTCCTGTGAGACCAAATTTGGAGTACTGCATTCAGCTCTGGGGCCTCCAGAACTATGAAGACAGGCTGAGAGAGCTGGCATTGTTAAGGCTGGAGAAAAGAAAGCTCTAGGGAGACCTTAGAGCAGCTTCTACTATGTAAAGGGGCCAACAAGAAAGCTGGGGAGGGACTTCTTACAAGGACATGTAGTCACAAAACAAGGAGCAATATCTTCAAATTGAAAGAGAGGCGATTTTAGCTTAGATATTAGGAAAAAAAATATGTTCACTGTGAGGGTGGTGAGACACTGGCACAGGTTGCCCAGAAAAGCTGTGGCTGCCCCATTCCTGGCAGCATTGAAGGCCTGGTTGGACAGGACTTGGAGGAACCTGGTCCAGTGGAAGGTGTCCCTGCCTATGGCAGGGGGTGGGAACTGGAAGAGCTTTAAGGTCTCTTCCAACCCAAACTGTTCTAGGATTCTATAATATATAGGCATGTATTCTATATGTTCTAAAAGAACATATACATAATTTTTCTTCACTTGCAAATTCAAGTTCTTCTCGGTATCTGTTCACCTTTTTTTCTATTGCAGTCTTATCTGCTCAGCATGACCCGGATTTCTCTGCATGGCTGTATTTTTTGTGGTGCCAACAATGTGATAAGATAAATAACATGAAAAAAAACTAGTTCAACCAGATGATTGTTGTAGCTCTCAACTAAAATTCTCTATTCATCTCTTTGTGCATCACCACTTGCAGAGTAAGGAGTACCAATCTTATAAAGTTGAAAGCAGAATTGCCCCTGACAAAATATCACAGACTGTGTCTATAGGTCTGATTTGAAAGGAATTATATTATGATTTAAAAATTAACTGTTTTTCTCTAACATTTCAGTAGCCTTCACCCTGGTTCTAATTGTTGTGATGCACTGGCAGTGTATTAGTAACTGAAATTAAGTTTCTTTCTAGGCATCACCTTGAGTTTAGCAAAGGCAAAGGGCTAAAATTTCAGACTTGTTACAATTGTAATTTAAGTAAGAGGGAGTTCACAGAGCTCCCACGCAGAACAAAGAAAGAACATACAGGAGCAGACAAATATTTTCTTATAATGCTTAGAGGCTGTGTAAGGAGCCCTCACTGATACCAGACTCCAAAATCTGCTCTCAAAAGCGAATGAGAATATGATTCAATATAAATGATGAGTAGGTAATAACTTGTCTTTTTTTTCCCAGGTCTTTTATCAGTGCTGCCTAGTAAAATAGCTAAGGACTGGGGTAGGATCTCAGTGTTAACAAGGTAGTAAAAAAAAAAAAAAAAAAAAGAAGACAAAATTTCCTTTTTTTTAATTATTTTCTGGTTAACATTAAGTATGTTCTTGGACAACTAAAACAGTAAAAATCAAGGTTTGAGATTATGCTTTTCTCATCTGACTTTTAACAGACACGGAAGTTGTGTGGCCTGTTGGAAGGTTTTCTTCAGTCCCCTGGCTGTAAGTGAAAAGCCTCTTCTCACACCATGCTGCCTTTTAAGAGAATAAGAAATCTTGATCACGCTGTAGCATAAAGCTTCAATTTAAAAAGCCAGATTTTCTTTCTGTATCATTTACCTTTCTTTCATTCTATTTCGTTTCAAACTCAGAAAAGTTTTTAATTTATGTGCAAATAAACTGATGTAAAATCTTGTAAGAAACCCTGACCCAACCGTAACAATAAACATTCTATTTCAAAGACACAAAATTAAAAATACCAGCTCCTCTGTTCACTGGAGACTGCACAGCTGTTCCACTCCTTACTTGGTAACACAGGTGGGAAGAAGCTGGTAAGGTGTTTCCCAAAATAATGGGAGAAAGTAGAGGTACTTTCCATAATGAATCTGAGGCCCAAGTTTTTCCTATTTTATGGCTCAGGTTCTTGTTAGACTGGTCACTCCTACGTATGCAGTAGTAACAATCTGAGCAAAAGTAGGTCCTTATAAGGGATAATGTAAGCTACCTATATATAACCTGAAAGCATCCTAGAAATCTGACTGCAGAAATCATAGTATGGTTTTGGTTTCCACTAAAAGAAAATATAGGAGTTTAGAGCAGCTTAGGTAGGAAAGGTCCTTACAGATCATCCAGTTCCAAGCCCCTGCCATGTGCAGGGACACCTTCCACTAGACAATTTGAAACGAAGAACTCTGCATGTTTTCTGCCTGCATGAAATCTAGAGACTACTACCTGAGGAAGTTTAATGACAAATATGTATATGTTATTGGAAAAAACAACTTTCCACTCCAAGACTTTTATAAGTCTCTTGCAAAAAATACCTTCCTCCCAAGCACCACCATTACACCTCTTCTTCCAGGAAATACATAACCTTATTTTTCCTCAGCCATGTCCCTTATTTTCACCTTCCTCAGAGCTATTGAGTCCATAGTCAGGGACATAAACACCCCAAACAGAAACCACATGTTCTCTGCTCATCAACCTTAAGCTAACATAAGCCTCATCCTGCCCACTCCAACTTCAGTATCTCCATACCTACTGGTGTTCATAAAGTGCCTGTCACTCCCCTTCACTTTTTGCAAAACACCCCAGGACATTGCAATCTTGTGGGCTTTGCAAAAGATGATTGTATAAACACAAACGTTAAAGCAATAAATAAAGGAGAGGGAGAAGAAAAAAACCCAAACATACACACAAGAATACCCAACAAAACAAAATCCCCCCCCAAATAACCCCAACCAAACCAACCGAAAAAAAAACAATACCCCACAATACCCCCCCCCCACTCAGAAAAAGACATAGAATATTACAGACTAGGAAAACGTTGCTTACTGCAAAACTTTTTCTAAAAACAGTGCAACAGCTCCTTTCAGGGTGCATGGAGTGGCTCTTAAAAGAGCCTTTGGGTCAGTATCAGCTGTAAGCCAGGAGGAGCTGCAGTAGAAACCTCAGGCGCGCTCGCCGCGGATGCGTCGCGCCAGCTGGATGTCCTTGGGCATAATGGTGACACGCTTGGCGTGGATGGCGCACAGGTTGGTGTCCTCGAAGAGCCCCACCAGGTAGGCCTCGCTCGCCTCCTGCAGCGCCATCACGGCCGAGCTCTGGAAACGCAGGTCGGTCTTGAAGTCCTGCGCGATCTCACGCACCAGGCGCTGGAAGGGCAGCTTGCGGATCAGCAGCTCCGTCGACTTCTGGTAGCGCCGGATCTCGCGCAGCGCCACCGTGCCGGGACGGTACCGGTGCGGCTTCTTCACACCGCCAGTGGCCGGCGCGCTCTTGCGGGCCGCTTTGGTGGCCAGCTGCTTGCGGGGCGCCTTCCCGCCTGTCGATTTGCGCGCTGTCTGCTTCGTACGCGCCATCGCACTAAGAAACCAAAAGCCTGCTCGCGCACCACCACCTCCAAATGAAGGCGCAAGACTGCCGGGGCGCTATTTATAGAATGCCCCCCTCGCTGATTGGCCAGTCGGATTGGAAATG